ATTAGTGTAATGGGCCAATCTTTTGAATCAGATTTCTAGAACTCAGGGTCATCGATCCACCCTACTATGTTGAGAAATCTCACCAGGTTTAAACAACTAGTGCGGTCTCAATCCATTCAGAAGTTTCTGAAAGTGGATTTCCCCCAAGCGAAAGGAAACAAAAGATTGATACTTTCTAGCATCGTTACGTGACAAGAAAAGATTGATACTGTAGGAACCGTAAGGTGAAGGTGTGGTTCCTATTTAATGACGGAGACAAGTGGCAAGGGAGACTAAAGGATAATTGTCTCCCTCCGAGCTAGGTGTTATTAGCCCGGGGACCGCGGTCCAACCAATGTAGGTTGGACGTTCTATTTATGTTAATTGGTAATGAAACTTATTCTGTGTGATGTAGGTTTCGTTCTTCTTAATGCCTTGAATTTATAATGTTTGTATTGGTACAGCGCCGTCTCATTACTGGGTATTGAAACTTCTTGCAGTTCTTCTTGCTATCGATTGCTGTGACGATGTTAGTGCGACGAATTAGATGTCGCTACGTGTCAGTCGTTACAGTACTTTCCCCCTAGACCGAAGGTGGATCCTTGTTGATAGTAGGTGGTATGCAGTCAATGTTTCAGAGCTTGCAAGTGCCAGGTTGTGACGTCGAGACCGAAGCTGCTGATTTGCATGGCTGCCATGCCGGTGAGTTATGTGTGAACTGAGGTCCGGTCATGGGCTGCGAGAACCAGGTCGGGATGATGCCGTCGGGTGGTGCCAAGGATCCAGGAAGCGTCGTCGATGCTCAAACTGGCTGGCTTGCTGCTGAAGTGGCTATGCTGATGAGGGATGAGAGGCTAATGTTGAAGGTGTGAGAGACTGTTGATGAAGAGTAATGGCTGCGTTGTGGTGCTGAACGTTGCTGATGTTCTGCTGGGGTCACCACTGTAGGAACCATTGGGTTGAAGGTTGGGACCTACAGTGATGATGGAGACAACTGGCACAATACTTTCTAGCATCTGTCCAAAAGATACGGTGGATTTATATTTATGTGCGTCATTTAAGGTACACTAATAGTGTTATGATATGAATGGCGCACCCTTGGGATAAAACGTTGCTGAAACAAATTTTTTTAATACCTACATAAGACAAGATTCTCGTCTAGAGATGGAAAAAATTGCATTTATTCATGCCGTATCTTCTCTGCAATAGTCTAGCTCTAGTGCTTACTCCAGATTAAAGTGTAGTAGTAAAATTTAAGTGTAGTTTAGAGAATATTACTTTTTTGGCTAAGTAGCCCTAACTGGAGGCCCTGGAAGTACCTCTAGACACGTCCACGATCAGCAGGTTCGATTCTGTAAAAGTATTTAAAAAAATAGTTCCCGAAATCAAACTAGATGTCGCTACGGTACGTTCTTGATTTCTCCATGACAACCCTTCCGGTTATCTTTCGTGTTTAAAAGTAAATTAGTTTTAAAAACTCAATAAACATACATTGAATATACGTGTCTGAGATATTCTATTCCTATGTCATTTCGAAACTCACTTATGCCACGAAACGTTATTATCAATTCAAGATTGACCGGATGCCGTTTTTTGAAGTGAAATCTCCTGAACATTTTACAGAATCATATTTGGGTTTTTACAGAATCACAAGGCAGTAGAGCGATTAGAAGTAGTGCAAAAATTCAAATCAGAATTCAAATTCACTCAGGTGTCCGACGGCCACAGCGTCATCTATCGAAAATAAGAGTAAGCAATGTATTTGCCTGCGATTATTTTAGTATGTTTATAACGATTTCGAAGTTTGGTGGTACAATAATTAATAACAACATAAAATGATAAACAACGAAGATATTTTGGTTCTGTAGGTCATGTGATAGGTTAGAAATAACGGGGTTTTTTTAACAGATAACAAAACTAAATTAACGTTTTGGCGGCTTTTAAATCAGCCGGCCTTGTTGAACTGTCTCAATGTCATAACTATTCAACCAGAAAACTAAGCGTAAAATTAAATGGCCATTACATTAAATAGCTAGCCACCCAATTGTATATATTTACATATAAAATTGATTAAACAGTTTTACAGTGGTGATTCTAACAAGACTAGTAATAATTTCTATCTTCATCGCTAAATGACCCTAATGATTGAGCCTTCCAGACATTCTCTGGAAAAGAATTCCACAGACGCACAGCGTGCACGGCAATAGAATACGAATTGAAATCTGTTTGGGAGATTTGAAGAAGAACGCAAAGTACATTGTAAAGAAGAGGAGCGGCAAAAGAAGAATTGTTCAAGAAATGGTTTAAGCATTATTAGATACCTATGCCAAGGAAATATACTTGTGAATTACTTTCATTTTAGCCCTCTAACAAATTCTGCTGTTATTTAAAAAGTGACTCATCACATCCAGAATAACGGAGTGAGCTGGCTAGCTCATTTCCGCGGCGTAACGCAATTTTTCCGAACTCCAGACGACAGTCTTGTCTTAGGTATTAACCAATTTTGTTTCAGCGACGTTTTATCCAAAGGGTGCGCACCTCCATACATTTTATGTAGCGGTAGACCGTTTTGTCGATAGTATAAGCAGGCACTTAATCAATTAAATAAAGTTCATATCACAGCTAACACGATTAGCGCAGTTCTTTCAGAAATAAAGAGTATTTGTTATAAATTATACATATATATATTTAAAAACTAAAGATATGGCTCAGGTGCAGATAAAACATATGTTTGTTCGATTTATTTACTCCACAAAAGTATCAACTTATGAATCTATCAACGGTAATAGGCTTATGAAACTAAAGCACAACAACAAACAAGACCTGTGCAGATTGCCGTCTTTATTGTATCATAGGTATAATACGACGATATAGACGTACAGTACCTACAAACATTATTTTTTAAGTAGCGTCGTTAAATTTCTGCTGCGTCTGCAACTTTTATGCTGTATACAGACTTACGGCAAGTTTCTCAATTGAAAAAATACAAAATCTCGACTGATTATTCCCAATAACTTAAGTTTTTATTTTTCATAAGGCAAAAAGTCCTAGATATTACCAAACTGCTATCAACTAATCATTAAAAAAAAAAATCAGCTTCTGAATTGAGTATTTAAATTTAAGCACGTGCCAAACTGTACTTAAACAAGTTTACGTTTCTGATTTTAATGTTTTTTAATGACCAGTATAAAACGGTTTGATTTACATACATATTTTAACCATTTTGTTTTGGACAAATATATAGAAGTATTCAAGAAACTATATCCAAAAATATGGTAAATTGCACATATAAATTCATGAAGTAAATATTTCTATAAATAGGTATTACCTACTCTAACTAAAGCAAAATATTATTGTGGAACGGAACGTCACGTTCCTGGTTACATTATTTTGGAAAACTAAGAGATGGTGCTGGCTGGTGTTCGAACTTGATATGCCATCTTCTTATATTTATCGGTGATTATTATTCTTATTTATAATGATACGTTTTGCGCTTATAATATTACATTGTTTTTAATTTAAGCACTTAAATTAGAAAAATTTTTAATTAAAAAAATAAGTAAAGTGTGACTATTTAAAATAAATATTTTCAGCTTAACTTCTAGCTTATTTACTTACGCATGTACCTATATGAGAAATGTAGAAACGCTTAACACTAATCAAAGAACAGATAAATAAGTATGTAATCCGAAAAAATGTACTAGTACAGTTTTAGGGTGGTCAGCCCTTCTCGCTAATCAAGGGTCGGTGCAAGACACATCATCAATCGTCGAGTGTGCAAGTTGGAATGTCTTTCAAATATATTTTAACCGATTGGAATATAACATTGGATAATTCAACAAATACATATATAACTGTCCCTTTTGTTACTTACTTATTGCCAAATGTTGGTAGTTCAATAACTATAAAGTTAAAGTTTTTCTTTGTGACCGGCTATTCTTATATCACAACTCAAAAGAATTTTTATTTAGTCCTTAATTCCGGATTCAGATAAAAGAAAAATATTAGTAATTTTTTTCTTTTGCATCAATTTACCAAGAAATAGTTTAGATATCAAACATTAAAGTCGAGGAGTGGGGCTCGTTACGTCCCTACTGTGTAGAAAATGTACAAAAGTATGATTTCATGTCATATTTTAACTCAATTTATCTCCATTATTTATTGATAAGGATTACCCAAAAATAAAAAAGTTTTAATATTCTTCAAATCTACGGACTAACTGATTAAGGATTAATTTGTGAAAACCATAAAATAAGTTTATCATTTGCTTCGCGTTATTTATAACCAACGGTATCTATTTTGTCTGTGATAAATATTTATGCTAAGATTTCTTGGGTCGCAAAGTCTCGGACATAAAGTATCTGAATAGATATGTAGTATTAGTGAGGTTATTCAAACAACATTATTACTAAATGAATGCCCAATGATTCTGATAATTAATCTCCCGAGAATATTAACTCAAGCCAACTTCTCAATATGATATGAATCGATTCGTAAGTTATGCTCGATCGTTCATTCTATTATAACTAGACAGATAGGATAGTCTCTTCCTGTTCCTTCTCTCGCTGACGCACGGCGACCGCGGTCTCCACGAGGAGATACAGGCACTTAAATTGGTCTCGCTCCCCCTCGCCCGGCACCACCTGCCATCAAAAGCAACGTTTCTGACATATTACTTTTACTGTTTTACTTTTTAACCAAATATTATAATTTACTATTGCTAAGTTGCATTTCATTATTGGACAGACCAGGTGATGCCGGTATAAAAATGAATTATAAGCTCCGTTTAAATTAGCTAAGTACAATTGAAAAAACATTTTCATAAACAACTTTATTTATACTACAATTACACGATCAATCGCCTAAATGGAAAGAGATACGCATCGAAGATATTTCACACTCGTCGCCATGCATGCAATGAAAAATCTTTCTACGGTAGGTGCAACTAGTTATACGCTACCAATGACACATCACGTGGCCGGTACAAAAACATAGTTTCACATGTAGTTCAGTAGAGCGAATTAACTGTCGTTTCTGTCGTGGGTGTATGTGTGACACCAGACGTCAGTGGCGGCGACCTCCAGCTCGACGGCGACCGGCGGCGGCGGCGGCGGCGTGCTCACCTGCATGCGGCGCGGGCGCAGCCCCGTCTGCGGCGGCGGCGGCGGCACATGTGGCACTTGCGGCATGTGCGGCACTTGCGGCATGTGCGGCACCTGCGGCACCTGCGGCAAGTGCGGCGCCGCCTGCCGCCACACCTCGTCCCTAGCCGTCATCGCGCCCGTCTGGTGCGCGAGCTGCTCCGTCGTCGTAACTGTAACGACGGCCGCAGTTCTATGGGAATTGCGCGGGCGGTGTTAGTCTGTTGACATTTACTGCACGCTCAATGATCATATATTAATGTCCCATGGTGATACCAAAATCCGTTCATCTTTAACTGCACCACCTCGGACTAGACACTCGCTCTAAAATTACTATAAGACAATTCTCGAAATCATATACCTAGGCTAATCAGGCGTGACTTACCCTCTGGTGGCAGGATGGAAGTCACGATCGTCGGGAGTGTAACGGATGACGGACTGCCAGACTGAAGGGTCGTATTTAACCTCCTCTTCGCTGAGGGCGCTAGAATAGCCCTCCTCTCCTAACTCGTCGCCGTCGCTTCGGTAAACAAGTAGTCCATCGCCATATTCACGGTTGCGAATGTGATCTCCATTCTAAGAATCAGAATACGCGTTGACACCAATACTGTTTATTCTATAAGAATAGAGCTCTTTGATTCTATAAATTAAAAACTAAAATACGATGAGTTAAATGGTTTCCGTAACAACATACCTAGTTGATATGTAAAAATTAATAAGTGTCTTCTGTTCAAATAATAGACGTATTCCATCAAACCTGCACAACAACTCCATCCCACGATGTAACAGTCACGCTAGAGCCGGGGCCCAGCGTCACTCCCGAGGCAGAGGGTCCAGGGAGGCCAATGATCGGCCCCACCCCGAGTGCCGCCGCCGGTTGTTTCCGGCCGCGTCGGGATATAGTGTAATGCAACGGATCGTGACCCTCGCGACGAATCATCTCTGGCAAGATACGCCGGCGTGCGTTTATGAACCAATTGCATACCTGATTAACGAGTGTATATGTAAGCCATTGGTTGAAATAAAAGTTGGTTTTCATAAAATTTCCTTCTCTACGAGTAATACCGATGGGATCAAAGTCTAATGTTTTCAGGGTATTGTTTAGGGGCCCATAAAATCTAGTAATATACTTAGTGATATTTCAAGCGTCACGGGTGGGATCAGTTTTGTATGGAATGCAGGAGCAAAACTGTATGTACAGTATGATGGGTAGCTAACGTGTTAACAGTACCAGGAGGCAGACTCCAAAGCTGCTGTTATGTTGGTATCATTGTTGAACAAGATTATAACAGCTGATGAATCACAAACATACTACTTACTTATCATAAAGAAGAAACTTTTGAAAATTTTACCGCGTCCGTCGAGTCAGTCTGGTGCCCGAGACGGGGTTCGAACTAGATTTTGGTCTAGTTTTTATGTTTGTATAAGATAATATGCCTTAATAAAATAAAAATCTTGGGTCTCAAACAAAAATTTCGTTCTTCACCTGCAATACTGTCAGATTGGCTTCTTGACTGAGGGCGAGCTTCTCCGCATCGCTCGGGTACGCATTGTATCGATGATCATAGAGCCACCTCTTCAGAATCTTGACAGAATGCTTCGGCAGGTTCCCGCGGCGCTTACGCACTGAGCCGGTGAGCACCACGGGTGGTGGAGGGGGGTGGCGTTGGTGCATCATCGGGTGGTGACGCGTGGGGTCCGCGTCCCAGTCGATGCCGCTCTCGTTTTCATCCGTCGATGAAGTCGACGGGAAGCGGTCGCGCGCTACAGACATTAGCGAAATTAACGACTTCTGTGATCCAGAGACGATAATGCGATTATGTAGCCTTCTATAGAACGTTGTTTCGTTTGGATTGCTATGCAGTTAGGTACTGCTGTAATTAATGGGGATCTCGATGGCGCAGTGGTAAGAAAATTCGGTCTGCAATACGGAAGTTAACCAACTTTCGCAAGGGCGGCCATATGAAGGGTGGGCAAAAATTTTGTATCTCGAGTTCTTCCGTAGTTTAGAAAGACACGTTAAGACAGTCGTTAATACTCATACCAATATGCACTGGTTGCACATGGTGGGTTTTTCTTCCTATATGATTCGTTTTAATCCATATGGAAGGTTTATGCCCCATTAATGATGTATCTAGTCTGTTCCTAGGTCAGGGGAAAAACGAACAATGTCCTAAATATTAAGTGAGCGTTGAAAGCAAACGAGACGTATCGCTTTTCATACAACTCGACATCGGTTCCACGAAGTACGTGTACTGTATTATATTGTACGGAAAGATATAGGTTGCTGACCCCACTCCCACAAGGGGTACCATAAGGTGGACAGAAACACTAGAAAAATAGGTTAGCGTCACAAAAAGCATGCGATTAAAAAAACTGTTACACATTAGTCAAAGAATATTTGATAAATTCCTCGAATATGTCTCTTACAATATTCAAGAAAGTATTACACAACTGGCTTACTGAGCGCAACTATTACTCTGTGCAGGAATTGATGGCAGCTAGACTATCGAAACTTAACGTAAAATAATAATGTTAATAATAGGCTAATATTGGTACAAGTCTTAGGTGAAATTTTATCAAATAATGGTGTAGTTTTTTACATAATATGTATTCGCATGCTCCGCAGGAGCTGGTATTACTATAGGTTAGGTTCATAAGCGTTACCCGAAATTTGTTTTTCTTTGATGTGTGTTCCGCTGTCTTAAACGTTTCGAAATCCCTTCCTTAGCTTATAATTGTCGTAAAAAATATGGTCGTTTCTAGTTGTCTAATATTTAAGTACTTATCTTGTCATGTTCTCATAATAACTAAGTTACATAATAAGTAAACAAGTAGGTACATGGATAAAGATTTTACCTATAAAAAATCTGATTTGTTTCGAGAATTGAACTCCTCATTTATTAAATTGTCTTTATTATATTCAGTTCGAAAATAATAATTTTACAGGCACATGTAAATGTTGGTAGGTACATATGTACATAGGTGTTTAATTTTATAGAATATAGATTTAAGTAAGAAAATCAGTAGAAACTTACGCAGTTTGATCTTCATAACTTTGATCACGGATTTACGCAGCGTGGCGAAGTTACTCAGGGTAGCTGAAGTTTAATTCCCGCGCAATCGTCACTACGCTTTTGACATTGGCTGCCAGTAAAGCAGTCGTATATTATTAATTTTTATATGACATAATTACAGCGTCAGGAGAGAAAATATGGTGAACACCATACATTTGAAGTATACGATGCTGAATTCTAGGCGTCCTTATTTAAAATGAACTCCAAATTCTGAAAAAATATACGCTTTTGTGACAATTGACAACGACGTATGTCATTTGTTACAATGAAAGAATTTTGAAATTTGGAAAAAACAATATTCTAGTCGGCCAGAAATCTATTAAAACCTTTGCGGTGCTGTCAGTATAGTATCTTTCTTCAAAGCACAAAGAGGTTGTATAAGGTAGTATAGGGTTTAGATATCTTCTTTATACTGCTGCACTTAGAGCGGTCATGTGGTCATGTGGAAATACAATTTTGTCTGAAAGGCAGGACTCATGTTTAGAGAGGCGCCCTCATAAACATCTCTGACAATCTTCCGATTTCGATTCCCAATAGGAATTTTGTTGTCTAGTAATACATGTGCATGTGTTACATAAGTACCTATGTATGGTCATGTCTTGCACACAGGGCCGTCTTAAACTATGCTGAGGCACACAAGAAATCGGGGCCCTTTTGTAATGTAAAGAGAACGAATCGAACTATATACATTTTTTTTGACTATGATTTGCTTTATTAATTAAATATATTATAATAATACAATATGTCATTAATAATATTAGTGTGTATGCTGCTGTTTTTTTAATGTGATTACGATAATAATTTCTTTCGAGGTTTCTGTTGAGCAAAATCTTCTATTAAATACTCAAACTCAATTTTCTGAAGAATATCACTTTCTATGCTCATAATTGACAAATTATATAGCCGTTCTCGTAATATTGTTGTTCGCAACACGTAATAACCTGTTTTTCCAAGTGTTCTTTAGAGGTATTATCTTGAGGTGATGATGATGAATAATTCCCCAACTTATTTGTTTCTTCCACCGTAAAAAACGAAGTAAGCTTAGGAAGTTTTTCCCTGATTTCTTTTGAGCTATAACTTTTTTCAGAAATATTATTATTTTTGTAAAAATTTCAATTTACAGAATAAAAAAACAACTTAGTAACTTGAAAATAGACATTAAGATTATAAACTTTAATGGCAAGTTATAATGGTGTTCGAATCCCTCAAATTATTCATATAAATATATTGATTTGAATAAATTTGAAAATGATCGACGTTCGTGCAACGAGAAAAGTGTAATGCGCCCGACTATAACATTTTGATATTAAATGTGAGAGGAAATTGTCGTTCCTTCGGGGGCCCTCTGAAGTTGGGGGCCCTGGGCACTGGCCCCTAGTGCCTTTATGGTAAAGACGGCATTGCTTGCACACTAAACATGGAAAACCTTGAAGATGTCTTGGATATACTCTATAAAATCTTTATCAACGAGTTTGCTTGGCTTCGCACTGTACATTGGCGTACATTTATTGTGGTTTTAAAAGCAAAATGTAATTTCATAAAATAATCGTTAGATTTAACAATAAACCGTGAAGACAGAGCATAATCTGAGCTACGAAAAGAAAAACGGAGTCTCCTTTCCTTTTTCTGAAGATAAAAAAGCAATAATAAATTAATATGAATAAGGGAGAAAGTTATAAATAAAGATATTATTTGTAGTTATATATAGCTATATACCTATCTAGACACTTTTCTACACAATATTGATTTGGCAATAAAAGTGACATCTAGCGATTAGAAGATGAATTCTTGCGTCGATCTAACCAGCGGCATAGGTGGCACTGGATTTTATAGACAGTATTCCACGTAGAAACATACAAGTACTTCTTCGTAAAATCATCACTACATAGTATAATACAAAGTCGCTTTCTCTGTATCCTAAAATCTTTTAAACTACGCAACGGATTTTGATGCGTTTTTTTCATAGATAGGGTGATTCCAAAGGAAGGTTTTTTTGTATAATACAAGACCACGCATGTGAAGCCGCTGGCGGAAAGCTAATTTAAAATAAAAAGCTGTGAGCACAGATTTTATTATAATTTATTACATTCGTCCCATTAATAGATGTTATTGTTCATATTATTTAATGATATTAGTGTCCTTTATATAAAGTTTGATAGTAAAAATTGCTACCTTAATACTAAGGCCGCCGTTTAACGTTTCAGAACGCACAACATTAAAAGAAGAGAAATGTAATGAAACAATACATAAGATTATCATTTAAGACTATTTATTCCCATCTAAAAGTTATAAATCCTGTGGAATAAATATTTTGTCAACCGCTTTGTGTAAATAGAATATTTATGTCTTAATGGATTGTTCATAGTTTACAGCGGTTGGAATAGCTTTTACATTACACTAAGGGTCCAATACACGATATCATACCTTAATTTGGCCCAGAACACAGATCTTCGCCGAGGTAACATTATAAAACCTAAACCATCACAATGAGGAAGTATTAAAAAAAAGAAAGCACTAAAAAGCACCTCGTTAGACGGCGACTCTAACAAAAGTTGATTTTTACAGGAAACGAACGGACCAAAGATAGCCATTTCCGTGCCTTTTAACTAACAAGTTTGTAATACATATAAACACAAGTATTAACAAACTGAAATTTCAAAGTTCGAAGCTTACATATCAATACAAATACGAAGAAGTAGAAATGAGTTGTTTATAGAGTTTTAAAATTAATTTACTTTTATACATGAAAAACCGGTAGGGTCGTCATGGAGAAATCAAGAAATTACCGTAGCGACATCTAGTTTGATTTCGGGAAGTAATGTTTTTTTTAAATACTTCCTCATTCTAAAAATACATTACATAACTGTAAAATTATGATGTTTATCAACTTCCACACTCAGGTCCTGAAGGTTATGTGTGCACCCCCCGCTTACTCACAAACAAATACATAAGTTTGCTGTCAAGTCTGCAATGCAACCTACCGTCAAGTTATTATGTTATCAAGACATTATGTTGCATTGAATTACACTATTACACTTGACTACATATCTACTTGATCGTGTATGACTTTTCTTTTATATTACAGTACCTTCTGTCGATTCTAATAATAGCTAATTTCGTATGTGACCACTATGGGGCAAACACATAACACATACCTATTAGTAAAGTGTAGTCACGGAATGGTTTGTTTTAACTATCAATAGATGGCGTTAGCATTATTATTTTACGTTGACTAAGCCTCTATTTGTTAACATTGTAATTTAAATTATTGTACATACGGTTGCAAGTCAGGTTACAACGATTTGCTAAATTTCTCCAGTTAATTTTAAACTCGAAATTTAACGCTAAGGTTTATAATCAAGTGGAGAAATTTGACAGATTAATATAACTTAACGTACTGTTGACTGTACATCATGGACGTAAATTAGTATCTTATCATGAAAAATTCAATCAATGGATTCAGAGCGACAGAGTTGAGAAAATAATTTGACAGCCTAAACTAATGAAATGCGTTGTTCTCATGTCGTTCTTTCAAAAAATATAAAGTTTTTTAGTATATTTTCTTACAGGTCTTACCCGTCTTAAGCACAACACGCGCCCGGGTGCAAGTAGTGCTCTGGCTCCCCCCAGCCCACTTTTTACACATATTTATATGAGTCCGGGTGCATTGCACCCTCTGCACCATGGGTAAAGACGGGCCCGTTTTCTTATATGACGGAAGACGCGTAGCGTCTTGGTCGCATCTTATCCGTCGCGGAACGGCAGAACTGACAAATAAAATGATGTGACCAAGGATAATTTAAACACTACGTTTTGATATGATTAAAGATTACAATATTAAACTGGAAACTATGGCGTTCAATCTTGCATACTGGAGAGATCTTTCGCGCACTAACGTATACTTCTGTGAAACACTTGATACATCTTCCGTCGAATATAAGTATGCCGTGTCGACTCTTAATTGCTTACGACGTTCCTATTCATTAACAGGTTCAATTTAAAACAAGGTTTAGCATCAGAGTAAAATTACGCTAAAATCGCAATTTTAGTAGTAGTCTAAATTCATATTATAGAGGGAATAAGCAAACGTACTACCATCTAGGAGTAAATATTACCCCTGTAGAACCTCGTACTAGGGCAACCTTTACTGAGTCTCTGTTGCATAATGTGAATTTTGACTAATACTAAGTGCTAAATTTATAATTAACACTGTAAAAGTTATTACTTTTATAGTTATTATTAGAGTGTTATTACACTCTTTTGTTGTTTTGTATTTGTAAAATATTTGGCAAATGGATTTCAACTATTCTAACTTATAATCTATGCTACAATATAAAGAATACACTAAGTAAACATAAAAGATCTTCGTTGCGATTAGAATAAACGACATAATTATATTATTCTCGTTACTGTCATATGGTTAAGTCATAGAAACATCCTAAATAAATAAAATAAAAACAAATCTTAAGCCCGCACCAAACACGTACGCACAAAAATGAACCCTTTGTTCAAATAGGTTCAAATACAATTTATAAGTGCACAAATATATTATAAACTATTAAATGCCAGTGCAACACTTTGTGAACACTTATGCGATCAAATAAGTGCACATCTTTCTGGCATCAGGGTTATGATAACATAGATTTGCTACTACTATATCGATATTTAAACTGGCCAAGTCTAATGGGATCAAAATGTCATTTAATACATAAATAACATTAGTTATAAAATTATTTTGTTGTCTGTATAGTGTATTTCTAACAGTGATTATTATTCACACACATTACAAAGTAACAACATAGATAGTTATATTCATATTATGTAATAATTTAATCATTATATTTTTATAATTATTACAGTCTACAGACAATATTAATACAAGATGTAAGTCATACATAAAATATTTAAAAGAGAATAATTTAAATTAGATCTAATGGAAAAATGAGTATTTAAATAAATTAGTAGGTACTTAAAACAATAATATATTCTTATCTAGTGAAAATTAAATCACTGTGGTCATTCACAAGGAAATGATAAACAAATTGGGCTTTTTTCTTGTCTATAACTTGTTTATTTATTCGCGACTGTGGCTCCTGCATCTGATTAGGATTATCTCTAAGGAATATAGCTCCAAATAATGTTGACAATGTTTTTGAATCAAGCCCATTATCAGCACTGTGCTGTAATGCTTCTTGTAAGAATTCACATAAATATAAGAATACATTCTTTCTGAATTCTGGTAACTCCATGACAATTTGTTTACACTGAAGGTAATTGGCAGATGCCCTCAGACACACTGACTGCAGATTGTAGGGGATAATGGGGTCTACAGTACTCTCTAATAGCAGCAAAAGGGCTTCTGCAACAGAATGAATGCTGCCTGGTATGGGATCAACTGAGCCACTATCCAGCCAATCTCTTATTTGCAGAACTTCAGAATGGAGACCAGGTTGCTCAAACAAATTGGGCTCTTTTAACCCATGCAAATATATATGGTCAACTAAAAACCAAATCTCTTTGGGTATAGAATAAGTGGACTGGTTGGAAACACACTGATCTCTTTTATTTTCTAATTCAATTAATTTTCCAACTGGCACTTCTCTGATTGGCATGTTAAGATTCACCAGCACCTCTATTGAACAGCCAAAACAACTCCTTTGGTAGGTCCCATTAACAGTTATGAAGATATCTTTCCCCCCATATAGGTGTAATACTAAAATATCATACAGTTTATCAGTTCCAGCATTCATTTTACAGGCTGAAGTCTTATTGATAAGTACTTTAAGTTGAATTTCACATGTTTCATCTGCACAAATACATTTTTTGTAAGGTTCCACAATCAACCACTCTTTACAAAAGCTTGTTTCATCAAGCTTCTTGATGAATTCAAATTCTACTGGCAGTTTTCCTATATTTTTTATTGTTATAGTACGTACTTGAAGTTCAAGGTAGCGCACTGTCCCAAAATCAATTTCAGTCACATCAACTTTAACCTGTGGAATGAGCTCATTTTCCATTTTATCCAATTGTTTTATGACATCCTCATACACTTTTCTGTACCTATCCTCATCAATGATTTTAACATATGATGTGAATATGGCAGAAACAGGTTTATGATCACTGATATTTAGAGCAGGATGACTTCTATATTCTAATTGTGTTATATTCTCTCCTCTCCAAAATATTCTGTCACACCAAGCAGGTGCTCTATTTTTTTCACTAGAATCCCAATTATCAGTACCAGGGTCATATTTGTATGTGGGCTTAAATGTTATGGGGCCCTCTGTGTACCCAGCAAACACATTACTAATCTTGTGCTGTTGTTTCAGCTGGTCCCATTCAAGAACTGGTGTAAAGTTGTTTTCACTAACCAGTTTCTTCACATTTGTAGGATCCAGCTCAGTAATACGGTAGTTGAGGTCTCCTATCCAATAAATATGGTCATGGTCTTTTATAGCTTTAGGTAGCTGATTGGGTTGAATGAATCTTGTTCTGTTGCAAATGTCCCTGAAGTCCTGGTTCCTCCTCTCATATTCTTCCACATGTGCAGCTAGATGGGAGTTGACAAAGCAAATAGAGGTGTTGTGGAGATCAAACCTCACAGCGACTGCTCCTTTATTCCCCATTTTACCCATAATACCAGTGCCCACTGTATCACACATAATGTTACGTACATGTGAGACATATTTCTGCTTGATAAGTACTATCAACATCATTCCAACTAATCTCACTCTCTCAACTTTTACATATTTGGCTCTCGGGTCCACACTTCCAATTACTGCATTATACCATTCATCTTCCCTTAATGTTTGGTCAAAGAGAAAAGTTTCCTTAGATAAATCCAGTTCTTGGAAACCAACTGCATAAATATCAGGGGGCTCTTTGTCAACACTCAACCAGCCTTTCAGTGGGATCACTGGAGATTTATCATTGACATTCCAAGTGCCACAGAATACTGTGAACTTTTTGGTAAATGTGTAGTCCAACTCTCTATCACACATCTTGTGTTTTATAAGGCTTTCTCTTATGGCGACAGGAGCTTGCGTGTTAACAACGCCACTCCTCGGCAAAACCATAGTTTGCCGTATGATTTCATCTTCAGTCTTACCGTGATATTTCTTTAGCCACAGAAACTCAGGTTGTGTAGGCATTTTGCTAACAGCTTCGATACCTCTGAAGAGGTCATCTACGAAGTTATCTACCCTAGTAGTCATTTGAATTTCAAATTTAAACTTAATATTACGAGACTGAAGATTCAGGTACAGAATAGCTTCAGGATCTGATGGCTTGTTGTCGATTTCACATTTAAAGCTATTATCAATTGGTAAAACAATCTCTATAGATAAGTCCGTGAAAGATTTGGGAGGGTAGGAGGAGGTATGTAAACAGAAGACAGCTTTTTCGTCTCCATATTCGACGATGGCTAGAAGTCTGTCCTTTTTAACCCATTCTGGATGTAATATTTTGGCTTCACTTAAAAATGCTGTTACTCGTTCACTTGTCAGAAATTTCTCTTGAACTACAGACTTTACGTCGTCGTTATTCATTTTTGAGGAGTTGGAACAAAAAAATCACAACATTACATGAACAACAAACGAGAACGAGATTAGGATTACATTTACAAACTGGAATTACTGGACTGATTCTGACAGTGACACTGACAGCGACTAACTGTCCTTTCAGTTTTTTAAATATTATTTTTAAGGCGAAGGGAATTCCCAAAACGAAAAATAATGTCTATACGTATTCATCTCGGTTAGAAACATTAACTGAGTTTGATATTAGCCCCTTTCCGATGCGGCCATACAATATCTTACTGTAGAAAGAAAGACCGTGAAAATTAGACAGTTGAATTTTTCACTTCACCGCTTGAACAACAATGGAATAAAATAAATATTTAAAGGGCCTCTCATACAAGTAACGTGTTTTTGCTGTTGCTACCATATGGCGGTATATTATCACGTACCGTGATAGTTAGAGAATTAATTTTTTTACAGATGATGTAGTTATGTTGCCACTGTAACAACAAGTACTAAAAAACAGAATATAATAAGTATTTAAGAGCGCTCCATTACAACAAACTATTTTATTTCGTCTTCGATACGAAAGCCTTCGTTCACGAGTTGACTTCCACTTGACCGGTTTTTAGGCTAATTATTTTACAAATAAAACACACGTATTCGTTAAAAAAAGCTATTTACTGTATTTTACGTTATTTAAGCACAAAAAATAAATTAATGTTCAACTACTTTAGTAGACCCAAATAATCAATCCTCTGTAGTTATTATTGATATACCGGTTTTCCGATATATCGTTTTATCGGACGTAACAATGACAGCTAATGTCAACGAAATGACATTGGAATTGCTATTTTTATACGGGCAGATAAACCATTAATTAATAAAAGAAGAAGGCTTTTACTTGCTTGATTGAATTGATGATCTTCGATCAACAATACAACCGTGGATTCATGTTTCACCGTGTCGCTTTAGCCTATTTGTAAAGACCAAGGCGTTAGCTCCGTGGCTTCTAAAAACAAGTAAAATTAGTAGTCAGAGCCACAACTATTTATGTAACTGGTATATATAAACAAAATAAATTTATGTATCAGTGAATATGGCTGGAGCACCAAGTGACTGGCAGCTTTTATGTACCGAGATGAAGCAGCGCGGGGGTCACCTCTTGAATTCGGGACAGTGGTCCGATTGTACATTCCTGGTTGGCACAGAACCAAATCAAGTTATGGTTTCTGGTCACAAGCTCATCCTTGCTATGGCTTCTCCAGTGTTTGAGGCCATGTTTTATGGTGGCATGGCTGAACGAAATGATCCCATACCCATACTGGATGTTCAGCCAGAAGCATTTAAAGCTTTACTAGAGTAAGTAAAAGATGGATCATTGTTTTCTTTACTTGTTTACTTGCTTGCTTGCTTAAAACTTTAGCAGTAAATTATACTGTTCTTGTAATTACCTTGTTTTATGGTTAAATTAAAACTTCAAATGGCTATAAAAAGTCACTTAGATTCATCAATAATGGATTCTTCATGTGTACTTGCCAGTAATGTTGTCCTTAAGTTCATAACAAATATTATATAACATCAAATATATTGCCCAGACCTCAAATTCAAAGCCAATAGCTGTTAGCACTAGTATTATGGTAATCAGAAACAAATATAATTTGCAATAGTATAATTTGTAATAGTAATCAGAAAAATATTAAAAAAAATTCTTTAATATCACATCACATCTTTTAGATATATTTATACAGACAATATAAACATAAGTTCATTTGACAAAGCATGTGAGCTGTGCTATGGAGCAAAGAAATACATGCTGCCACACCTGGTGAAAGAATGCACAAGATATCTATGGTCTGATCTTTACCCAAGAAATGCATGTAGAGCGTATGAATTTGCAAGACTCTTTGAAGAAAATGTGCTCATGGAAAAATGTATACAGGTAAATACAGTCATTAGGTAGGTGGATTTATGATGTTGTGCTTAGTATGATTAGACTGAACTAATATTACTTTTTTTACTAGTTTTTAATTGTTTTAAAATTCTAAAATAATTCAAAAATAAAGTTAAATACCATACAACAAAATTATGGATCAATGGTTATATAAGGAAGATGTCACTATCAACATACTTTACATTTATAAAATAAATTGAAAAACATCAAATTAAAATACCAAAGCAATCACATCAAATATTAAATCCCATGTAAAGTAATCAAGATGTCTGATTTTATGAAAAATTGTTACCTATTTGTGGAGTAAACAAAAGGGACTTTTAGTGAAAAATTTAAATATCCTATGCTGTTTTGTTTTTATATTTAAACATAAAAAGGTTCCATGTAACCTGTTAAACATTTAATGAACCATAACAATCATTTATTTATTATTTATACTGTATTTGCTTATAACTTTTAAAGTTTGTGAACTTTTAAACCAAAGAATTTAATATTTAATCTGATTATTGTCCTATTCCATATGTATTTAAAATACCTATGAAGTCATAATTTTTAACGCTGGACATGGTCAAAGGCCCCACTGTTTATCTGCGAATGTGTTATGTAATCATATTTAAAGCAAGTAAATAATCTAATTTATCATTATTCAGCCATGAGTTTAGCATTAATCATTTGTTAAATACTTTTCATACTTTCTATTGTTTTATTGATTTCAGATAATTAGCACTAATACCAAAGAAGTGTTGAATGACTGCAGTTTTGAGGAAGTAGAATTAAACACAGTGATCACAGTATTATCATTAGACCATCTGAATATTGATAGTGAGCTGGATCTATTTGAGGCTGTTGTGCGTTATGCTAAGGCTCATGAGAGAAGAGGTGTGGAGCGCAGTGCAAGCCCTACTGTGGATAGTGGGCCTCCATCTGAGAAGAAAAGTAAAAGCCCGGTACCATCCACTTCAAATGAAAATGTAATGTCAATAAAAAAATAATGATAATTATTTTCTTTTTTTATAATGCTTTGTGAACATGAAAATTATTATTAAACAGGAGGTAAATGTTGATGGAAGCATTGAGAATAGCCTCGAAAGTACTTCAGAACCTCGCAAGGCTCCTGAACCGGAGTCTACTCCTGGATCTTCCAGTGATGACAGCAAGAAAAATAAAGGTAATATACTACAAATCCAGTATAAATTAGCAAAAAAAGATAGTGTTTAAGATGGTATCCAAACCATACTGCTATACTCGAAAATGCAGACCTATTTTATAAATGAACAAGACTTCCTGGGCATTTAAAACTTTTGGTAAAGAGTGACCAAAAGTTTTAAATGCATAAATCGTAGAATTTATTTAGCTACTATATCGTTCTAACATTTGTTTTATATATCCACAATCACATAAACCCACAAATCATCAATATATAATATTCGTTCAGATCAATTCCATCACTTACAAAAGTCATCACATCACCAGCCTTTTTATGTCCCTACTGCAGGGGCTCAGGCTTTCCTTATGGATGGTTAAGGAGGATGGGCCATGATCCTCCACGCTGGCCCAATGCGGATTGGAGGGTATTAACGACTGCAAATGCAGCCGGGACCAACGGTTTAACGTGCCTTCCGAAGCACGGAGTATCTCGAGATAATTATTTTTTGGTCACCCATCCTGTGACCGACCCTTGCGAAAGTTGCTTAACGACTACGATCGTGGGTCGCGGCGCTTATCCACTACGTCACCGAGCTACAAACTTTATATTGCATTACTTACAAAAGTAATGCAATATAAAGTTTATTGGCTATTTATTTTTGTTCATAATACATTTAATTTGTTTTAGGAGAATTTTAATGTAGAATGTTACTGTTTATTATTCGACTGTAAATAGATGATAGTAGTGTTATTATTATATGATTTTATAAATAATTAACAATGTCTATATTTAGTATTGTTAATAGAGCTATCTCAATATCAACAATGATATATACAGAGATGTACAAAATACCCTGTACAAAGTATCTGGAATACAAGATACAAAATACTTTTAAATTAAGTATTTCAGATACCAGATACGAAATACTTTCGAGAAAAGTATTTGAAATACTAGATACAAAATAGGTATCTTATAGATACTTTTTATAAATACAAATACTTTTCTAAAAAAAGATTTGAATTTAAGTTTGTTTATTAAAGACCACAAAAACCTAAATCTTAGACTAGATGGTTCCAGGGACAAAGTGGATTTTTTAAGCATTTTTCATTAGAAATTATTTTTGTAAGCTTTTATTTAGTTTTCTGTGTTTGTACTCAAATCTTACAAGCCAAATTTCACCCACTTTTCCTCCGTTTTATTTGTTTGTCAATCACAATGTAACATATAAAAATGCAAATATTTAATACATCAGGTTTAAATTATTTTAAATTTTTTAGTTCCTTTTTAATAATATTTTTTTTCAATATAGCATTGTGAATGAAAAATTGCTAAAATATAACAACAAGAATAATTATTTAAATTTAATTATAAAATTATTATTTATATAAAAAGCTGGTTTTACGTACGACGTAAAATTACGGAGAACTGAAAATTCATTTTTTCCTAGTGAGATGAAGAGAGTGGGTAAAAATAAATACAGTACTTGGTTTTTAAAATTAATGGCGTGACTTGTGACGAGGTGAATGTGCGATAGTATGTAACGGAACGTATATTAACTCTTTTTGCAGAACTACCGAAAATTATGCCCCTTTAGTATGTTAAGCTAATTTGAAAATTTTTAGTAGAAAATACTTAGCTTCTGTGGTTGATTATAGTACGTTGGTTTGTAGGAAAGGCTTATAATACGTAGATGTACCTAAAAAGACTTAGAGTTGGTATTGCTGGTACTGTTGGTAATGCGCCATTAGTTACCATCTGATCGGATAAATCCGGTCTCAACCGGATTTGAAGTATTAATTAAGTCTTTATCTATGAAATTTCCGTTTTTAATAAAATAAATGAAGCTTTATTTTCTTATTTCTATTAATCAAAATAATCACCCATGCAATCAATACATCTTTGCCAACGCATTGGTAGCTTAATGATGCCTTCTTGAAGAAATCAGCTGGACGGGAGGCAACAAATACTTCAAAGGCATTTTGTACTGCCTCTCGGGAATTTATTTTTTTCCCGCTAAGACGTTATCCAAATTCTGGAAGAATTAGAAGTCTGTATGCGCATGGTCTGTTAAGTACGGCGGATGACGGAGAACCTCACACCCCAGTTCTTGTAGCTTGGGTACCGCCAATTGTGTAGTATGAGGTCGTACGTGGTCGTGCAGGAGCAGTGGAACCGAACGATTGACAAAACCTGGTTGGAATTGTGCCAGCTTCTCCGTCATTGTGTTCAGTTCTTCACAATACACAAAGTAAATCTGCAGTAATGCTCGTCCTGTTTGGTAAGAAGCTGTGATGAAATACATCCGCGTTAGACCACCAAACAGCAACCTTTTCGTAAACCAATAACGGGCAAACCAATAACGGGTGGTGCGTTCGTTTGTAGTGTTCGCTCTGCAAACGTTCTAATGTTGCGTGCCGCTTGTGCCGCTTTGCTGCCACGATGGCACACATACTCCATAATTACTCGAATTTTTAACTTATCCATGACTACGAAAAATATTCATATGCATTAAAAACAAAACACTAACTATTGAACAAATGACGATTTTAGAAAAAATAATTTGAATTATCAGCCAAAAAAAAAATAGTTTGATTTTAAATGGCTAGTACAGCAGAACGGCAATTACATAGGTAAATACCTAATATTAAGACAGGACTCCGCCCATTTTTTTGTTGTTTCTCAATAAAGATCCCTTAAATTAAATGGTTACTTATTAAAGCAAAATCTACTACACGATTACATCACAGATTGTATTGTATTTTTGAAAAATAAAGGAGTATTAATTGACGATGTCAAAGAAATTATTAGAAGAATTCTTTCTATTAACTAATTTATTTTTATGACGAATTAGTTGAAAAGCAGTGGGTAATTATTTTCAATATATGCAATGACAGCACTCGTTTCCGAACTACTGAAGATTTGTCAGTATTTTTTTGTATTATGCCTCATAATGCGAATATTGATCTTTTTATGCAGTGGTCAAAAGATAGAAAAAGATTAACTTTTGAGTCAATAAAAGCAATATAGCTTTGCTCACGGGATATAATTTCAAGCATTTGCCATGTATCGAATTTCACAGTGAAATTTCTTTAAAAATAAACTTTTTGAATGCTGTTGTTAGTGGAAAAGTATAATGTGCAAAAATATAATAAAATTGAATAATGAGTTTAATTGATATACTGAGTTTTATCCGGGTTTTTACATAAATCAAGATTTTTTATTGCTTGTAACTGGTTATTCGATTTCAAGCCCTATGCGCCATCTATCAATTTTTACTAGGGAGGGTGTATTACACCGGTATAACCGTACGTTCAGTTCTACGCATTTACTTTTTAAATGACACCAAACAATGTTTGGATTCGAGTCATTTTTAACTAAATATTCATTGCGTTGATAATTGAACACTTTCTTTTTGTAAATATGTATGTTTTAGGCAAAGAATGTTTTGTGATATTTATAAAATGTAAGAAATAATCTTTTTATAAAGTATTTTATCTGAAAAAGTATTTAAAAGATACTAAGATACTAAACAAAAGTATTTCAATACAAGATAGAAATACTTCCTAAAAAAAGTATTTTAGATACAAGATGAAAATACGTATTTTGTATCTTGTATCTGTATTTGAAATACAGATACAAGATACTTGTATCTAAGATAAGTCACATCTCTGGATATATATAACATTTGGATGCATTACCATAGTGAGGTTAAGGTATTGTACGAATTTCATTAAGTCACGTACCAACAAAAACTCCTTTATCACCAAAAACTAAGCAACGCTATTCCAGCAGCAGTTTTACAGTATGATTCTTTTACTTCTCTTTTGACTTCACGGAGTTTCTTTGTATCGTTCGTATATGATGAGTTTAATTATAATATTGATTATTTGGTCATCAATGATAAATAGATATGGACAAGGGCTACTCATAATCATAAAACTAGCGTGACCACCATATCCAGTGGAACGAAAGCTTGACGTTGCAATGTAGCTTTGTTTCGCAGAGCCAAAGGAGAGCGTGACGATACGCAGCGCCATCGAGAAGGTCCGTTTCCTGACGCTGACGGCGCAGCAGTTCGCGGGCGGGCCGGCGCGCTCGCCGCTGCTGACGGAGTCGGAGGCGTTCGCGGTGCTGATGAACATCCTCTCCAGCCAGGCGCCGGTGCCGATGCCGCACGGGTTCTCCACCTGCCGCGTGCCCAGGAAACAGCTCATCGGCGGCGGACCCTCCACCGGCGTACGTCTCACTAGAGCCTTATATCATTACCATAACGTCTTCGAGTGAAACTTTGAATATGATTCGTTTCCATTTATTTTCGTTACGACTTGACGTGTGTAATGAAAACATTTGTTTGTGTTTTGCTTATTGTATATGTATGGTTTTTGGTACACTGCTAGATAATACTATGAATGATGCCTACTATGCTATGGTATATAATGAAGACCGATTACCAGTTTTCTATTATAGGAACGGTGAAATTTCAGATTTTTCAGAAATAGAATCACCATTCATACCATCGGAAATTACAAAGTTGAATATAAAAATTATCAATTGCCAATCTTATAACAGAAAGTTAGCCAAAGGCCATATGGCCAAAATTATATTTCATATAAAAGAAGAAATAATATATAAGGCGCCGTCTCCATGAGTGAGAAAATCGCGACAAGTTCGTAACGTCGGGTCATCTCCAAGAACGAGCAATTATTCCGCCAGCGTGTCGTCTTGACTTGTGACCGAATCGCAGCGTGTCCGCAACTACTTGTCGGGATCGCCGCATTTGTTTAACGACGAGTTCTTTTATTTGATAAAAGAGTTAAGTTAAAATGTCAGACAACAGCAAAATAGGTAATGTCTCAGACAACAAAATAATTCTTGATTATGGATGTTGCGTTTGACAGAGCCTCCGATGAGGACGATACCGCGGCTGATACGACGACGTTACGAGCGTACACTGCCACTCGTCGCGTTCATAGCGAGTATACAGAAATACGTGGCACAACGATAATATCGCCGCTATTCTCTCGCTCGTGAAGATGGCGCCCAAGGCGTTTCTCTCCTCGTCACGTGTGACTCTTACGGCTTACTAGGTTATGACGTCATTTGGATTAATGGTGTTTTAATGTTTATTTTTTCAATATATTATTTAAATATTTTACTTTCTGCAATTCTTGCATTGATTTTAATCGACGTGATAAAGAATATCAATGCACTCTCTTTTTATATTTATTTTGTAACTAATAAACCGTAATAATACTAATGTTTTAACAGGTGGGGGATTACAACGTGTGTATTATTATCTGCTTCTTTGTTTGTTTATTTGATTACATGTGATTTAATCTAATTATAGTAATATTTAAGTTGAGATTTTATATATATCGCACGGCTAAATTACATATAATTAAGTAAAAAAAATCAAGTTAATATTATAAAAAAAATGTTTGTTTGCTCTGAAACTACTAGCTAGACTAATTTTTTAAATTCTTTCACTCACGGGAAGCTACAAAATATGCGGGTGACATAAGTGACATAAGTCATAATTAGTTACTTGAAAGATATATATGTTGGATATAGTAATATAAATGTACACAATAATAGTGTAGTATTTTTCGTTTCAAAATAATTTTATTATTTATTTTTGCGAAATTAACTTGTGATTCGATTCTTTGGATTACAAGACCCGGAACGCGGGCAGCCATGACGAAGCATCGTGTGACGTCACAATTCAATACATTAAACTTCAATGTCTTTGTTGCGAGAGCAACCAGTAGGTCAATTCTGATAATGTTTACTTAATAATAGCATCTGAACTACGTGCGTTTTGCCATTGTACTATCTACCTGAAGTCCAATATTATATTTATCTAACACCATTGATTTGTGAGGAAGTCATAGCACTAATAATAATTTATAGCATAGCACTAATCATTAATATAATATTGGTATCAAAGTGTTACTTTTAATAATAATGAGTTTTCTGTAAATATAAATTCTAAATTGTCAATAAAATTATGGCACTCATTCATTATAAACATATATGTATATTTTTATATGATTTTATATTTAATTATCTGAACATATCTATAGATAAATTGTGCATAAAGAAAAAATAAAGTTATTTTATTTTCTCTATTCAGTCTCGCTTGCACCATAATTGCAGTTAAAGTTAAGGGTTATGTCAAAAATGACAATATCTATGCTGACTTTAACATTTGACTGTGGCATGCGTTGTATCATTCTATTTTTCGACTGTCTTTGTGAACCAGACAGCCTGTAATTCGTACGACTTACTCTAGGTTTGAGACCATTCAAGTTGAGGAGTAAAATAAAGAAAAGACTGGTACATAATAGCCTTACCGCAAACGGTGAATTGTCCGCTAAGCGGCCATGGTTGGGGTGCAAGAAGCAGAGGGAAGGGATGCGCAATTACGCGATCCATACCCCCTTCCGTCCGTGTGTGTAGAGAGTATTGGCCGGGCCTCCCACGTGGGCTGTCTGCGGGCTTGCACCATCTCTGTACCCTCGGGCCTCCCTCGCAAATCACTAGGAACCTCGCGGGGGTTTATAACTAATGTAATATACGAGGTTAACCATAAATCAAAACCTTAACCATTTTTTTTTTACATATTTATTGTACTGCCGTGTTAATTATTAGGTTTATGTTTTATGGAATACAAACGAAAGGACGACGCTATGCGACGACGCTCGCGTGATGATGTTATATCAGAGAGTTATTTGTGCGGCAAGCCTTTTTTTAATGAAAGGATATGTAACTGTGTAGCTTTTTGGGGGTGTTATTTCTCAAGTTTACATATAAGGGTAATAAAAGCAAGAAATTTCATATTGTCAATTACAATATTATACAATACTAGCTTTTGCCCGCGACTTCGTCCGCGTGGTAAAGTTACTTTGAGCAGCATTTGTAACGAATATTTATTCATTATGTCGTCTGAAATACGTGAAATAAAGTTTCATCCCTCATTTTATCCACTTACGGGTACAATTTATCAAAATCATTTCTTAGGGGATGCCTACATCATAGTAGCTTTTTGCATACAAAGTCTCAGCCCGATCGGTTTAAAACTGATTAAGTTTCATACAAACTTTTCATATAATCCAGTGGTTTGGGCTGTGTGTTGATAGATCACTATGTCAGTCAGTCACCTATATTTAGAATTAGGGAGAACTGTGATTCTCGAGGTCAGGGTTCACGGATGAGCTGCAATCTGTTTCAGTACATTAGGTTATTCGTTCACAATAGTTAGGTCTATGTCATACACTGTCCTGGTAGTGCTACGGCGAGATAAACAGCCGAAGAAGTCAAGTGTTGTAGAAGGTGTCAACTTCGAAATAGGTGGGCCCAGATGTGTCTAATAGCTGCTGATAATTATTGAAGATAGGGTTCCCCAGGGGTAGGAAGGAACCCTTACAAATGGAAAAATAAAACACGAAGAGGAGGCTTTGGATACATATATAATACAATAACAGAAAAAGTATAGAGAGGAGTTTGGTCCATTTCATGAATTTCTTAAAAATCAAGCATCAGAACATGAAAATAAGTTTTAAAATAAAATGCATATTTTTTGTTATCACTTTATTCTGTATTAATAAAACATATAAAATCAGCGTAGGTAACCGGTGTCTAAAGTAATTGCCGAAGTAAAAATCACCCGGTGGCGTCTTCGGTCCCCATAAATAACGCCTTTCTGTAGTGCCACCGTGTCCGTATAAAAGCTTTCATTAGTATTCATAAAACAATGACTGAAACGTTAGCTACTTCTAGCAGTTAAAATAAAGAAAATGTCGACTTCGAAATATTTAGTCGGCACAAACGAATGGTGGGTGTTTTTCAGATGCCGACGTTCACTGTCGATACTCCGAGTCCCGTGACTGTGGACCAAGTGTTCGGGGCGGACCTGTCACGCCCCGGCCCGCACGCCGCCCCGCATGCGTGCCTCTTCTCGCATCATCGTCCTAACAAACACGAAGGTCTGAACCATTCGACTGCTATGCCTCACTACCCTTTAATTTGCGGATCATTAACCTATATAATACTTTGAAAATATTCAACCACTGATTCATGATGCCGACTTTTTCAGTATAGGATGAACACATATTCAATCCATTGAAAAAACAAGATCAATTAAAAATATGGTGCGCGCATTATAGAGTTACAATTTTTTTTTTTAAATTTTATTTTAAGATAAATCAATACAATAATTCATTCATAATGCTAAAACTTATCAAATATCAATACGTACAAATAAATATACAGGAATAATTTAAAACCACTGCGAAGATTTTGTGAAAATAAACTTTAAGTAATTTAAATAAACACGTATTTTTTATTTTGATATGTTCTAATACTAAAAAATAAAGTTATCGCTTATCAAAGATCGAGATTTTAAAACTTAATTTATGGACACCGCGCGCCGTGCGTCAGCTGAGCGCTAGCTCGACGCCGTAGGCATGTACTCGTAGGTACCTATCTACACAGGTCACTGAACGCTCATTTTGTTAGATTCGAACTAGATTTTATGCCATGATCTGAGGTGATTTCTTAGAGTAATTCCAATTTTCCCTTCATACTTTTATGGTTAAGGCCATCAAAATGAAAAAAAAAATAAAAGAGAAACAAATTCGTTACCTAGAAAAAAATATTAACGTTATGCCGAAGTTACATAGGTACTTCTGCGTTAAGGCGTATTTAAAAAAAATTGAATCAACTACGTATTTATAATAATGTTGAATCAATACTATGAGTAGCTCGGTGGCGTAGTGGATAAGCGCCGCGGCCCGCGATCGTAGTCGTTAAGCAACTTTCGCAAGGGTCGGTCACGGGATGGGTGACCAAAAAATTATTATCTCGAGCTACTCCGTGCTTCGGAAGGCACGTTAAGCCGTTGGTCCCGGCTGCATTTGCAGTCGTCAATACCCTCCAATCCGCATCGGGCCAGCGTGGAGGGTCATGGCCCATCCTCCTTAACCATCCATAAGGAAGGCCTGAGCCCCTGCAGTGGGGACGTAAAAGGGCTGGTGATGGTGTGAATCAATACAAATACCTAACTAATTACTTACCATGTATTTTAATATTTGTTCAAAATGTAGTCCACGTCTGTCCAGACATAAACGTGCACATTTCATTAAATTGTCATTTAATTTGCTTAAAACACTAGTGTCACTTTTCACTTCACTGAAAGCGTTATTATTTTTTGTTGTTAAGTATTCTAGACTTTGTGCCTCCTCTACATCTCGGCGTTTGACTTCTTCCCATAAGAAACAGTCCCTCACTTGTGAACAATGCCTCATCCGTCTACAAGATGTTTGCATCGCGGTGATGTAGAAGCCACTCACATAAGGCTCGACGTGGTACTGGGTCTAGGTCATGGAACTGCTGAACCGACTGAAAGTGGTAGGGATGGAGTCCGGCTGTTTTTAGCAGCTTCAATACCGCACCTCACACCAAAGAGATATGCCGCATCGTGGGTACTGACTCTGGGACTTCGTCTGTTAAAATGGTTCGAAGCATTAGGGACCGCGGGGTTACGGATCCCAAAGGCCCGCATACGAGGTATGCTCTTCGTCGCATACTTTCTCCGAATTGCGCTTATGTAGGTTCTCACCACTCAGAAGATAAACTCGTACATCTCGTAAAACTCACGACGGCGGGCGCGTCGCGTGCGCGGGAACGCGAGGACACGTCACATCGGCGCGTGCGTATGAGTCTCACTGTCGCGCGTGTCGCTCGGTCCCGGCGGGGCGGTGGGGGCTGTGGCGGGGGGCTACCGGGCGCGGCGGGGTTGCACGGTGGCATACGCAAGAGAAGACGTTTTCATTGAAGTTTTATTTTAAAAAATGTGTCCATATTCTACCGTTTCGATAGGGATAAAAATATTAAAAAAAAATTTTTTAACTAATTATGGAAAAGTGTTCTATTACTGATACTGAACCACCAAAAAAAAAATTTGCACTGGAAAAAAAATATTCCTGTATATAAATTAATTTTATTCATCTATGTAAATTATATTAGATAAAAAATGATGATATGTTCAGATTTATAAAATATGAATCTATGGCCACCCTACAGGTGTACGAGCGCCTATGTTGGCGGGAGCGGGGATGGCGATGGGGATTGGTGGTAGGGCCAATTCCCCACCACCATTCCCCATACCCGCAAGTAGAGAACAAGTGGATCGGCACTCGGACATGAACAAGATCTACTGCCAGCGTCCCATAATACAGCACACGGACTGCTTCAACGCCAGTGTCTTGGATTGCTCTGTTACTTTTATGGTGGACAAGAACATCTGCCTGCTCGGTGTACAGGTGAGTATTGAAAGAAAACTGCTCTTTCACGATTGGATAAGTGGGATTGGATACGATTGAATAAGCATAAATGGAGTTATGAATACAGACTGAATTTGAGTACCATTTAAGGCCACAAGAGAATCATGTCCAACTTTGACCTCAATATTTTATTAACGCCTCTAGTGATGTGAATATCTCGAAACTTAAAATAAAGTCAGGATAAAAATAGCGAAACTGATAATTATTTTTAAAAAGTCCCACGAAAATTACCACAATACGATTCAAAATGGACACACGCCGCCCGTCAGGTTCATCATCATCATCATTACTTCAGCCGAGAGACGCCCAGTGCTGGGCATAGGCCTCCCCCAAAGATCCCCAAAGCGATCGGTCCCGTCAGGTTACCACAATATATTAAATTTCTGCAATGGATATTGACGTCTTCAACCTTCAAGTTAAGGTTTAAAATAGAGTAGGGAAATGTTTGTGCAGTTGACTGAACCAAGACTACGGGAAAATATTCTTTCGTCATAGGATTAAAAAGTGTACATTTTAGTTTATTTCCACAATTATGAGTAGAAATGTAAAAAGCTTAGATTTTAACACATCAATTATTGAAGTAACAGTTTCGACAGATGCTATAACCTCAAAATATTTTCAAATCTTCATAGCTCATTAAATCATTGAAATATTTCATTTAAATATCTCTTGGTTAGATAACGAAACTATTAAATTAATATCGGATTTAGTTAGACCATGCAATTATAAATACTGGAAAAAGAAAAAATGCCCACTACTTGCTCAGTGTTATTCGGATATAAATAAAAAAGTCAAATGTTACACTTCAGAAATTAATCCTATATAATATATTATTCACATAGAACCAGACTTTTTGGAATTTATATGCAAATTAAAAAATATAATGTTTAATAGTTGGAAGCAGGAAAGATCATTATGATAAGAAATCTAAAGAAAAAGTTGTATAGCTTAAAACAATTCAAAGTCAACCTCTTTGTGAAACCTGTCTTAATAATATTAAAATAAGAAGAAATTACATTAGATTGATTTAAAAACTCCGTTCTGGACACTACCTATCGACAAAGTTTACATATTTAATGAAAATACTGACTCAGATAAATGTCACACCTGCAATAAAATTGAAGATGCTCATGGAGTGTATTAGAAACAAAGATGAGAGGGAGTCATCTATGAAAGAATTTAAATTAAATGTTTTAGATATTGGATTTAATAATTCAAAGTATTTTAGCAGAGCTCAAGTCTATCATTGCACAAAAATTATGTAAATCACTGATAAATTTAAAATAAACTAGCAAATGCTGTAAAAAATTCCGTAGTGAAATTTTGTCATAAAATTAATTTAGATTTAAGTATGGTATGATGTGTTAGACATGTTCGTAAGAATAAAAACCCCTTAATAATTAAAAGAATAAAAAAATGTTCTTGCGATAAAAAATATCTAACATGTTCCGTGTCGGGTTAGGTGCCGACGCAGGCGCCGTTCGAGATCTCCGGTCAGTTCGGCGCGGGCGCGGGGGCGGGGGCGAGCGCGGGGGCGGCGGTTGCGGGGGCGGGGGCCGCGGGGGCGGGCGTGGGGGCGGCGGCGGGGGCGGGCGGCTACAGCGAGCTGCTGTACGCGCACCTGCTGGACGCGGACGGCGCGCGGCTCACGTACACGCACTACACCAGCCGCGTGCCGCACCGCCACCTGCTGGACATCATGTTCAACCGACCGGTCTACATACAGAGGAACAAGGTACGTGCACTAGGAACGAGCGAGACGGGTGTGGGCGCATCACGCGAGATGGAAAAAGAATATCACTAGGGATTGCAATCCCGCAGCTCATTCAATCCCGCGGGATTGATATGCGGGATTGATCAATCCCGCGCAAGATCCCGCGGGATCCCGCATCTTTAAAATTATGTTATAAAATCGAATTGAAACTACAGGTTTTTATTTAAATAATCAAGTTTTATTACGAGTAATTAAACATGTCTCACATTATGCAACAAAAATTATTTGTTTTCGAACAAAATAACAATTAAATTATATAATTAAGTACGAGTAATTTAGTAATCAGTCTTACTAATCTTAGCTTTTAAATGTTTGGCATCAAAGTTTTGTTTAATTATACCCTTACATCTAACAACAGTTTTATACTATTTTGTTATTCAGTCTTATTCATAATAATGACTAAAGAAATCACAACTAAGTAATCAACAACAACAAAAACAATAACTACTAATCATTGTCAAATCACAACTTTCTCTTATCTAAATAACTAAATGGTATTATTACGATTGTGACTTTTGAAAATACGCTCTTAAAAAGCAAATGGCATTTATAGTATCATCTCCAAGCCTGCTTCTGAGTGAACTACAAATATATCCTGATGCCGAAAACGCTCTCTCGGCTTCTACGCTAGTAGGCTGAACAGTCATGATATATTCATAGGCGAGCGTCAGGTACTCTCCTCTGATACCATCGGACTCGAAACATGCCATTTCTTTCTTCAAATTTTTTTCATAATCCTTTTGCTTATTGTCTGGTCTTTTCTTAAATATTTCTTTTTCTTGTTGAAGCTGTTTTTCTAATTCTTCTTTTAGCGTAAGTGTAGAAGCTGTGTCAGTTACAGTTACGGATGTTCCAGCTATAGATGTATTTTCGAAGACGTCACCTGCATACATTTCATCGTCTTCAACAGTACTGACTCTCTCTATTATTTTCTTTATTTCTTGGCGTATTTCAGCTTTTTTTGGCATAAAGAATGTTTGAGTACGATCTGTATTTTTGGCTTCTTGGTCGTACTTTTTCGGATTTTGTAAATAAATTAAAATTCCTGTCAAGTTAGTGCGGCGTTCTTTAATACGTTCATGTAGACTCTGAGTTAACTGGTTACTCAACACCGTATTTTTTTGTTGCAATTTATCCAAAATAAATTGAAATGTTATGTCCGCAGTTATAAGCGTTGACTCTCGCCTACACAGTGCCTCAACTCCCAATTTAAAAGGCTGCAAGCTGGCAATGAGATCATTGATTTTGAACCACTCATTATCGCTGAATTTAATTTCAGATTCAATATCGATTAATGCCTTATCGATACAATTCTTTAAGTTATAGAATCGTTCTAACATATTTAAAAGACTATTCCAGCGAGTCCGGCAGTCTAATATCAATGCCAATTCTTTTTTAGGGCCTTCTTGTTCCTTTACATATTTTTGTAAAAAGACGTCATTTTTAGTTGGTGACCGTTTAAAAATCTTGACCACTTTTCGCACTTTCTTCAATAAATTGTCATATGTAGAAGTCATTTCAAGTGGTGGTGAATTTATATTTACAGTTACGCCCTGTTCATTCGCGTCCAATCCGTCCATATCATCGTCGTCATCATTATCAGACTCCGTCGCAATTGAGGCTGCTGGGCATTCTGGTATTGGTGAATTGCTTTTCTTATACAGTGTATCAACTACCACTAGCTGCAAGCCGTGTGTAAAACAAAGCTGCTGGGAACAACGCAAAAGCTTGCCAACCTTCACCATCACACTAGCGCCGTCCGTTGTACATGCAATAATATCTGTGTCTAAGTCTAGACCAAAACTCGCTAGGCGTTCTTTTACTAAGCTAATGCAATGTTCTGCGATAGCCGAGCCTTGTATACGTACCAAACCCAGATTGAAATGATTTTCTTTCTGGTGAACGTTGATATTTAAGTATCGATGATTTTTTTGTGACGTCCATTCGTCAAATGTGAGTGAAAATCTCTGTTTTCCTTTCTTGAGACGTTCAAATTCTATAATCATGTCAGCTTTGACTGTGTTGCTAAAGTTTGTTACGATAGATCTTATCGTATTTGGCGAGTTAGGTAATTTGTGTCCGCTTTTAGAAAATAAATCTCTTAAATCCGAAGATGTGCAAAAGGAACTTAAGGTGAATCCGTCTTTACATACCATCCTAGAGATCGTTTTGTCCATGGAGTTTTCTTTGATAACAAAACTGTCCAAAGTTTTGGGTTTCTTCTTTGGTACAACTGGTAAGGATTTTTCTCCAGTCTCATCGTTTCGAGAATTGATATCGATATTGTGTTTAGTCTTTAAATGTATTTTTAAGCCTTTGGTAGAACGTTGACTAATTTTTAGTTCATCTGAACACATAAGACATTTGCCACCTTTGTCACTTTTCTTGAAATAACGCCACAGACCTATACCAATTTGGGTGCCGACGCTGCCGGCGCTGCCGTCGCCATCACCGTCGCCTTTATTCTCTCTCTCGAAATTCTCAGTTTCATTGGACTTGGACATGATTCATTCACTCGTTACCTGGAAATATGTTTTTAATAAAGTCTAATGTATAACTATTATCATCGATAACAAATATTATGTGTTCATCAAAACAAAAATAACTTATACGTGAATATCCAACATTACATTATCATTACAACATTATATTGCTATTTACAGCATAATCTGCATTTGAAAGAGCACAAATAAAAAACTAAATCAAAATTAATAATATACTTATGTTGAACGCACGCTGGACCGTAGTACGAAAACACTGTCACCTACAGACACGACGCGTGCGACTGACTGCAAGAACACGAACCGACACGAAGTCCCCCGCCAACCTCCGCCACTGTGCGAAACGGCAACGTCGCACTCGCGCTACTCGCTTTCTTACGCGAAACTACAAGAACGTTTTAGCGGAAAATTGTAATTAGCGCCATCCGCGGATCCGCGTTTTAAAGGTGCGGGATCCAGAACATTAATAAGTGGTGCGGGATCCCGCGGGAATGCTGGATCCCGTTTTGCGAGATTGCAATCACTAAACATCACTTACAAATAATCTTTTGTTTATTTCGCGATATGAAACCTACATCGATGTTATTGCAAAGATGTTAACTTTTTTTACTTACGTGTACACGAAAACGAAATAATGTTAAAAATTATTTACATGCGCAATCTCAAGCGATAAAGTTTGTAATAAAATATACTTAACCTATTTTTGAATCAGACGCATATTATTGCAGGGTTGATGAACCAACGGCTCGCGTCCCATTAATAGCATGAACCAATATTTTGGGCACGTCGGTCACTGAACACAAAATTCATTATGAACATCGAAAAAAACTGTGACATTGTCATTTTTTACTAAATAATCAGAAAGTCAAGATTATTTGATGTCACGTTTGTGACCTCGTTAAACCATTCTTTAGAAAAATGGCACGTTGATACGTAAAGGCTCACCATCCCTGCCCACCGTAGTGTACTATACAGCTTGGGGGCCGTCCATTAAACACGTGACGTTTTTTCAACATTTTTAACCGCCCCTATCCTTTGGTGATACAAAAAAATCTTAATTTTTGACGTTACGTTACGGCTTATTAATAGCGCGTTTGAGAAAAAAATAATTACACATTCCTCTCCCCCCCCCCTCCCTTGTTATATATCGTGATTTTTGACGAACCCTTCGGGCCTCACGTGATTAATGGACGGCCCCTAAGAGGCTTTCCATTAATCACGTGAGACTCGAAGGGTTCGTCAAAAATCACGAAAGGGGCCGTCCATTAATCACGTGAGGCTCGAAGAGTTCGTCAAAAATCACGAAATATCACAAGGAAGAGGGGGCTGCAGTAATATATCACGAGTATTTATTTTTTCCTCAAACGCGCGATAACGAAACCGAAAAGCGGCGCCAAAAATTAAGATCTTTTGTATGTACTAAAAATACACGTGATTTGGGTGGAGGAAACCTCACCATGTGTCACAAACCGGAAAACATCACGTGATTAATGGAAAGCTCCTTATCTACTGGTATACATAGATATTTTATATGCTTGTCATTGTCGTGACCGGTTGCGTTTCGTCGGTGTAGGTGTACAAAGTGGGCATAGTGTTCAACAAGGCGGGCTGGTACCCGATGGGCGTGTGCGCGCAGCAGGTGGCCGCCGACTCGGTGTTCTTCCACTTCGGCATCGGCCAGACCAGCGACAGCGTGCGAGACGGACTGATACGGTCTATTATATTCACTTATTAGGTCATCGCAACTTTGTTCCGAGGGAACCTACACATGCTCCCGTTCTCCCCTAAGTAACCGTTTGTAATGTTTATCCTTTTAATACTCTTTGTTTGGATGTTTGTCCGTCAATCACACCGAAACTTTGATATACAGATACGGTTTTAGCTGACTTGGATAATACTTTTTATCCCACGAATTGTTCCCTAAAGTCCACGCGGGTGAAACTACTGGCGAAAGCTAGTTAAGATATAAAGTAAAAAAACCGATGACTGTAGTAGGTGATCCAATCCAGAATGTCCATCTCGTAACTTAGTTAACGTTTTTTCTATTAAAATCGGCTTCAAATGCACTGGACGTTAAATAAAAATTAGCTCCCTTGTAAGCTGTGTACTATTTAAAAAGTCGATATCAACCCACAACCTTACGGGCTGATACGGCAGCTTCAGTTGTAACGTTGAGTGCATTGCATTTGTTTCAATCAAATGTAACGTTATCGAGTTATGCGGTAAACTGTATTCGACAGCAATTCACTGACAGCTCAATGAAAAGTTGTTGATGTTTTTAAAGATGAATGTAATGACATAGATATGATGAATTAATTGATCTCATTGCTCGTTGGACAAGATACTAATGTAATGTGTGTAAAATAAAACAAGTAGAATGAGTCCTTGCAAACTCTCTTTCTTATTATTACCGACAGGGTAAACGTCAATATATATATATATATATATATATATATATATATATATATATATATATATATATTTTGTTTATAATAAATCCAACATTACTACAGTACAATGAAGGTTGCTGCTAGTGCTGATACATACTGCAAATACTTTAAAATTAATTGACGTCAATTAATGTTGGCGTAGACTCGAAGCGTCAAACTCTTCACATAACAATAATAATAAGGTTAAAGGAGTGCGCGCATTCTAAAGAACTCAACAACGTTCTCAAGCTTAGCTTATTGTTAAAAACTCAGTTCAAATTTAATAGACTGTTGATTTCACGTGGATGCGCGTACGCCGATCGGCAAATTTTTTTGTGAGCCCAAAATAAAACATTAGTCTTAAGAGTGAGTGCTATATCAACGTTCATATTGACGCTTTGACTCTGATTCTAGTATAAATGAACCCTTATTATACGCCTCTGTAAATATTTGGCAACTTTCAATAAGATCAGTCCTGCGATTGTGTAAAAATCCAAACCAGAATTAGAATAGGGATGATAACTGGGTAAAAAAAATGCAATTCTATGTAGTCCGTCAGTCAGATAATAGAAAAATATTAGATACGTATTTTTTTTACTTCAATTTAACAAGAAATAGCTTAGATAACAGGCATTAAAGTTGCTCGCTACGTCACAGTTGAGTAGAAAACGTACTCTAACGTGACGTCATGCGAAATTTCAACTCAATGTAAAGCCGTAATTTTATGATTACGAAAAAAATAAAAAAATACATGTTTAATATTTTTTAACACTCTATCTGACGGACAAACAAACAAAAATTAGTCATCATCCCTATTCATTTAGGTGTCCGAATTTTCTTCAAAAAGCAGCATCCGCTCAATCTTGAAACGTTTCGTGGCATAAGTGAAGTGAGTTTCGTAATAACATAGATATAAAATATCTGCGACAGGTATAATCCAATTTTATTTTGTATTTTTATACAAAAGAATAGAATCAATTGAAAGTCTACACTAAATGACGTGAATTTAAATTCGGATTCTTACATAATCGCCCTGCAAAATTCGAAATATTTTATGAACTGTACAAAAGTAAATGTATTATTATTTAAGTAATCGACTCTCTGTGTATTGCATATGTAGATTACATGAAGTTTTAGACAATGTAATTTTTAACCTTTATATTCTTTGTAAAGTATAGGAATATGTATTTATATTGTAATATGTAATAAAAAATTATATTTAATGTTTTTTGGTGTGAATTGCTTATGTATATTTTGTATTGGTGTTTAGAACATAGCGTATGTAACGGCGTTGCCAGACGTTCTGAACTAAAGAAAGCTAAAGCCTGCATTGTTGGCCATTATTCGAGGCACTGATAGAAACATTTATGTTCGACGTGGGACGGGTACCACTTATTTTAATAATACTCTACAGGGTTATACCAGACAGTTATTGTAATAAGTAAAGTAACATTTTACCAATATAAAAATCTTTTTATTCTGGTATCTATCCCTATTGAAACTATTTAAAAATCAAATAAATGGATAAGTAATGTTCTTAATGGAAAATACTACAAAAAAAAGAACATTTTGTCCCTGGCACTCTAACCCACGACCTTTCGCAACCCGGGCGACTGCTCTAACCACTGAGCTACCCAGGACCTAACAGGACTGACGAATTTTTCAAGCACTTTTTACTTATTCGCTACTGCAGAGCGTATTTTTATAGATTTTCATTTTTAACAAATATAGTAATGGATTGGTAATTAAAAAAAAAGACTGATTTTTAATGTAACGCTTTCGGCGAAAGAATCCCCTTTCTAAAATCCCGCAATTTCCCGTCCCGACTAAAACCTGACAACGTTGTATGTAATGAACTTTATTTAAAGCGCAATTTTTTGTTAGACGTTCAATATTATAGTAAATATCAGAAGACCTATATTAATTTTACAAACCATATTGATTAAAATTGACCGCTCTGAAGAATGGAAGAATGAAAGTTTGATATTTCTAACAGCGGGTGAAGAAACCTAAGAAAAGGAACTCATTATTTTGTTTTTGTAATTATAATTATTTAATATTAAACTTGTTTTAAAATATACATATATTTCATTTCATACAATAAGGCATCTAATATGGATTTAATCAGAAGATATAATACATATTTTTGATTATTTAGCATCCTTGTTTTCTCATGTTTCAATGTGTCGTCTTTCATTCCAATCTATAAGGGTATATATCCAATTATCCAATATATAATCCCGGGTGCGATTTCCGGTCGAGTCAATGCAGGAAAAGGAGTTTTCTATATTATCTAGGGTCTGAGTGTTGTGGTATCTACGTCGTCTCAGATACTCCATTTTTTATACAGGGGCTTTAGATACTCATCTTGGAGCCTAAGCCATATATGTGATGTCGTCTTAATCGTGAAAATTTTTAAAATCTCAAATAAGAAAAAACTTGTAAAGTTTGATCACCCATTTAAACAAATATCGTCTTTGTAGGCATTGAAAAAAAAAATAAAATAACATGCAATTATCATCAGTTATATTTAGGTAATAAAAATTATCAGTATCAAGTTTTTGAGTGATTTCTTCATTTACTTTTCTAAAATAACAAATTTACATCTGCTAATTACTTATATGTCACTTATATGTAAAAATCACAGCCGCTGATAGGCACTTGTTTAGGTGATTATAACTAGAAAAACATTCATAACTGTTGTTATATAGATTTTTTTGTGTTCAAAAAAATCTTTTCAAATTAAATAACATTTCACAAGACAACAGGATTTAGAAATTAATAGAAAAAGAAAACTTTAAATATTCACTTAAAATTTGCTCTTTAATACCATTGTAGTGTAATGGCCAACGGTACTATAAATCTGTTAAAACATTATGATACTTATAATACGTTTGTTTTATTAATTAATAGGTTTCGAATAAAAAAAAAAGTATTACTCTGTTTGCTTCGAGTTCCCCGCTTCACCGCATCGCACGTTTTAGCAGACCCTAAGAGTACCGCTAGCAATGGCATCGCGTACGTCTTTATTATAGCTTCAGATTTCGTTATGAAGTTTTGTTTTGTGGCGTTACAGTTGTTTTGTTAAGTTTGATAACCTTTACGTAAAGAATAATCCCGACTTGCGTAGTTAAAACGTCAGGTATTATTTATTTGTCGACGGTACCAGTGTTGCCTATGACATCATTTAGCAACGGTCGCCGACGGGCAACTCGAAGCACACGCCTAATACTCATTTTAAAATTGACCAACTATAAAAGAATAACAATCAGTATAAACAAATCTTTTTATAACATTAACCTTATCAATAATCAGTCTACTTCTTAATAACAATAATAATAAGATTTTTTTTTATTATCGCATACACGAAGAATATTTAAATCTTTAAAATAAAAATTAATACAAGGTTAGACATTACAACAAATATGCTCGTAAAATCGGAAATTATACAGATATTAACTTTATTATAGATATATTTTTCACTGGTAATAAATTATGATCGGATCATGTACAGTCAACAGCATGTTAGGTAACTAGGAAAAGCTAATTTTTATTCCGGCCGATTTTAAGCCTAAACCTGTCAGTATATACATTCAAAATTGTTTATAGAACTTTGACCTTATGTGATGTTTTCTGTACTTGTGTTATGAAGCTTATGAGCATGGGCGTACCCACGTTAGGGCATGGTGGGTCGCTTCACCCACCCTCAACTCTGACTTTAAGCTAAATATATGAAGTAACAAAATTAAGTAACCTATTTTAAGTAAATTCTCGCAGATTATTATTGACATATCAAGCACTTTATCGTTTATCGAGTGTATTCACTTTTGCCCCAACTCCTCAATAAATGCTAGGTACGCTCATGCTATGTGTATTAATATATATATAATAAACAAAAATAATTATATGTTACGCTGACACTTATTATTTAAATACGTCGGTAATAAATAGAACATCCACATTAATACACACAGTGCGCCACAAGTCGGTGAGTGTTATTGTTCAACTAGACGAGCTTCTATGGCGATAGAGTTGCCCCTCACGAAGCCACAATCAGGTTTCATTAATACGGTCCATGTGACGAAACGATGGAAACCCCATTCGTAGTCTTTACTGCTATAAAAAAGTAGGTATAATAATAATTAAATATATGGTCTGTTAAAGTTCTCACTGCTGGGGCAAAGAGCGGTCGAAAATATTGAAGCTTAAAATTTTTGAAGGGAAGATATGTATAAAATATGTAAAACAAATTCAATTATGTTTTATTTGTATAAATCATTGAGTAAATTGGACTTTATTGCACACATTATTATAATATAAATGGAAGTTTAATATTTTCTATTGGCCAATATTGATAATACGGGTGTAGACAGTAAACGATATATATATATATTTTTTTTTCTGGTAGTGTTTAATATACTATCACCGATAATCACACTTTTATGCTTATTATATTTAAAATATTGTTTAAACTTATGAAAAAAAATAACAAATATTTTACGTTGACAACGAGCGTAACCGTAACAGTGACCGCAAACAGCGCGTGACGTCACTCCCTTCTAGCCCGTATTAGAACTGGGAGTATTCCACTTTATGCACACATAGAACGAAATTTGAATATAAAAAAATATTTATTTATTTTTATTGCATTCCACAATGTAGTATTAAGATGTTTATATATCTACAAAATAAAAATATAAAAAGCTGTCTACTACCCCTAAAATAATAATTTTTAAATTTAAGACAGCCTTAGCTCTGCAATATTTTTAAGTAGAAAATTTAAATTACCCTCGTATTATAGTCATGAGAAGTAATTACTTAAGAAAATGTCATGACTTTAGCAACAAGTCGAAAATAGATACGAAGGTAATTAACTATTTAAAATTATTTTAGAGTGGGAGCTGACTTGAGTGAATGAAATAATTTCTATAATTATTAATACGAGTGTTAGAATATAATACGTGTTTATAAATTCGCTATACTGTTAAGAAAAATATACAAAAGATTGTTGTCATATGGCGGGCATTAATGCATATATTTAAAAGTAAAAAATTTTTGAAAAATATTAATATCCTTTAATAATTTTAAGAAAAAGAAAATTATATTCATATTATATGTCTGTATACTTTCATTTTGAAATATTTTTGAAAAATTGTGCACTATTACTTAAGGGTAATTTCAGAAAATTTTGACCCCCCCACTCCAGTGTAAGCGTACATTTTTAAGCCTCTTCCTCATGTAACATTTAGATATCTGGGGTCGATAAAGTTGGTGAGACATAACTAAAGAAGTTAGTGGTATCTAAAGTAATTGATGATACAATGTAGAAAAGAATAAAGTAATTATGACATACCTAGAAAAGGTTCGACAGATATCAGCGCTGATAGGCGCGTGCGAAGTATCATACGGCACAAGCTGCAGGCGTGCTTGGACCGACACTGACCACGGAGCCGATCCAGATCCTGCGCTTGTTCCTGATCCTGACCCAGCGCTCGCGCTCAATTCTGACCGTGAGCTTATTTCCGATCCTGTCCCGGCGCCCCCTCCCGATCCTGACCCTGAATCTCGACTCCAGGGTCCAGTGCACCTGTATCGCACAACAAAAGTCCATGAATAAATATAATGTGGGGTGGACTTGGACAACGTGAAGCAGCGTATAGCGTATTCCTGTCGCTTTAATTAAATTTAATTATGGCAATGTATGGAATTGGAAAATGCTACAAGGTATGAGTGACATTTAATTTCATATTTTATGTACTACTATAGTTTATAGTCTGTTACACATTATTATTTTTGAAGATATTTATTTAGCTCTTAATTTTATGAAATATTGAACAAATTGGATTATTACTTTAGAAATAGTCCATAGTATTTGTGCTCATTCCCAGAGGTGTCAACCTCGAAACGAGGCACCAGTTTGATGCTCCACGACATGTCCAGGAAGTTGAATGGCAGCGACTCTACAGATCGCCTGCGAGTCTTGAAGTTTAACACAGTGAATTTGAACATTACTTCGCTTTTGCAATTCGACTCTTGCTCTTGAGGAAAAAATAGCTAGAACAGTAATAAGATATTTTTAATATTCATAATATATATACACAAGATTTTTCAGAATCAGACCACGAAGAACATAGCATATCTAAAGGGCATCATTTTGGACTGCATAGTTTTATCTTAAACCTGGTTCCTGGGCACGCGGCAGGTGGAGAACCCGTGCGGCATCGGCACCGGCGCCTGGCTGGAGAGGATGTTCATCAGCACCGCGAACGCCTCCGACTCCGTCAGCAGCGGCGAGCGCGCCGGCCCGCCCGCGAACTGCTGCGCCGTCAGAGTCAGGAAACGGATATTACAGACAGCCTTCCGCAAGCCGCTCGCACATGCAGCTATTGAAGGAAGCATATGCACTTAAAACAATAATATTACCAACTAAATAAAATGTTATCAACTAAAACTAGACTGCTTGTATACAATATATTATTGTTTACTGTTTAAAAAGCTAAACAGTAAGATAGCAAAAATATTCAATTATACTTGTTTGAGTAAAAAATTATCTATGTAGAAAACATACAATAATAGCAATTAGAATCATAGATATTTTTCAAAATATTTACACATACTTTCTACAAATGGTTTAACTAAACATACAAACCACAGTTATCACCACTATTACTGTTCTCAAACGAACAAGATGATTCAGTTTCATTGTTGTTACTATCACAGACATTTTTTTGTTTATCTTTGACATAATCCACAGGATCTTCCTGGTCTTCCTGTGCCTTTGCTGGTGTGTTTTGATATGCATTAGCATTGTTTTCAGAATCTATTCGTTCTAACCTTTTAGATACTTCAAACATCAATGCAAGAGTATCCTGTCAATAAAGAAAATTACTTTTTATTGAATAACGCAACTAAAATGAGATTGTGTCAATTACAAAATTGTAAATTGTGTTTTCCACCAAGATATAGAACACCCATAGATATACAAAATTACAATAATCTAGGTAATGTGAAGATATAAACCTACCCCCACATCTATGCTCTTCTTTGCTTTCTTTTTGGGGGTCTTTGTGAGTGTGTTACTGTCCAAACTCCTTTTTCTACTAGTGTTGATGTTAGCATATTTCTCAATGGCATGAAACAAGACCAGTTCACTATCAATATTTAGGGATTCCTGTGAGACCAGTGTTAGAAGAGTTCCAAGTTCAGCTTCCATAAAACTCTTATTGTTTATAATTTCTGTTGTTCTGTCTGTCAATATCTGTAATTATCATGGGATATAGATATCACAATAAAGACTATTGATATTATGATGTACCATACCATGAACATATCAAGCACAAAAACAAATGTTATGGTTTCATATGCCCAGTGCATCGGAGTATGCCATGCACAACATTAGCTAATAATGCTCTGTGCAAGGAATGCTCCAGTGTTGATTGGCAATAAAATTATTTAGTAAATGTCTTCTCAAATACAAAGGAAAAACAGTATAGTAAAAGCTTTTACCTGGCACATTCTTATTATAGTCATGATCACATACACTGTAGAGTTTAAAAACTTTAAAAAATTATGCTTAGCCAAAACCATTAAATTAAAAAAGTGTAGTTATAGTATCAGTCTCTAATATTGTATATCTATTTACATACCTTCACACATGTATCCATAAGTACTGTTTCTTCAAAAAGCTGTGCTAATTCATAAGCGCGACATACATTTTGTGGGTTAAGATGTAGGGATATAAACAAAGAACATTCTTTCTCCAGATATGGTAACATATACTTTTTAGCACTATAATACACTGAGCAAGCTTTCTCAAAAGTTTTAATTGAAGTTTTATCTGTGTAAATATATCTGTAAATATAAGAGCAATTAAATATAAATCTAGTAATCTATCATCACTAATTTTGCATGTAGCTTAATAAGTACATAATACTTACTTTAAGAGAGTTTCGAAAGCTTCAGGTTCTACATCTAAAATTTCTATCGGACCGTCTTTCTCAGCCATGGTGCCGAAAAACATAGCTTTGAACACAGGGGACGCAGAAGCTAGTATAAGTTTATGGGCTTTAATAATATATCGGTTCAGATCTGAACCTACCAAGAAGGAGCAGTCAGACCATTCACCTGACTGCAGCAAATGTGATCCTCGCTGTTTCAACTTCATACAACTAAGCTGCCAATCTGTTTCAGGACTTGGACAAGACATGATTCTGCTACACTCAGTTAATAAGCACGAATAATCAACGTTTTAGAACCACTATAACACTTTAGCATTGATTTTAACAGTACCTAATAAATTACTTGTCCATGTGCATACCCTACCAATCCAATAATTAGAAAAACACCTATCAAAGAGAATTTAAAACATACAGTTCTGTGTACACTATTTTTACTGTAACTTTTTTGGAAAACAACCGCCAAACTCGACTCAATGTCATTGTCAAATAAGGGATTACGATCTGTGATCGATTAATATAACAATTGATTGTTGAATAAGAAAATCGATTTTTTTGTCGACATGTAAAATGATATTCATTTTTTTTTGACATTGCGTCATTCATTTGTTGTTTGTTGTGTCTGTCGAAATAAATTCATATTTTGATTAGCGAAATAAATAACTAATTGAGAGTAGGCAAGTAAAGCGCTTCTTGTTTTTTACTTTGATGCTATTATTTTCATTTTGTTCTGCTAGTTGCTAATTATTACATGTATAGAAATCATATAATCTATTTTTATAACTTTTTAATATATCCAATATATTTAAAAAATAAATGTTTTGCTTTATACTTAATCTGATACTTTGTTAAAATAATTGCTATTATCAAATTCTCTAATTTTACTGATAAGAGATCATTGATTATAATACCTATATTTTTTTTTTATAAAATGGATTCGTACTTACATTGTAAATACAAACTTGAAGAAAAATGATTTTAGGAAATAGTTCTTTTAACCTCATTTTTTTAGAGGTGATTCGACGGTTGGTATCGATTTAAAAATCTATTTTGTACGGAAAGCATTGTCATCTCTAGGTCAAATGAATTTGTATGTCAAAAGGAAAAGGAAAAGGCGCCCTTTTTGAAAAAATACTTTTAAACTTCTGTTTCAAACACTATTTGTGCTGAATTTTAACTTGTAATAGTTTTTTTTAACATAGAATACTTGAGTGTATATAATTTAATATTGAATTAATAGAAGATGGGAGGCGTAAAGAAGCGTAAAAAGGACCCACCTGATGGACGAGCTGGAATCAGTTCAACAGACTCTTCTTCGGAAGAGGAAGAAAACACCAGGAAGTATCAAATATTTAAAGTTTCTGGGTACTCTAGAAAGTATCCAGAAAATTGCAAAAAAAATGAGTATATAGTTTTTCTGTCTCACAAAGAAGAAAGTAAACAGTTTACTGATAAAGACAGATTAGCTATTTCTAATGCATTACGTAAACACTGTGTCACAGGATTACTCCACTTACGACCCATTAACAAATTTCGTGTAGGAATCACATTTGATCTATCGAATAATGCAAATGTCTTCATTCAAAATAAAAAGCTACTGGATGAACTAGGTTTAAAAGGCACAATTCCAGCGTCGGACTCTGAGGTGACCGGAGTTTTAACTTCAGTCCCAACGAGTCTTTCAAATGAAAGAATTTTTTCGTTAATAGGCAGTTCCAGAAACGTTATACAAGTCAGGCGTTTTATGCGACGAGTACGATGTGAAAATGGTACAATTTCTTATCAGCCCACACAAACAGTAGCAGTCACATTCGCTTCCACGGAACTTCCGCAGTATGTTTACCTCGATTCATGGCGACATGAGGTTAATGTATACATCCCACCAGTGAAACAATGTTTACGTTGCTTACGTTTTGGGCACATTGCAAAATTCTGCAGAAATGCGGAGGTCTGTTCCATCTGTACACAAAATCATAATTATAGACAGTGTAAAGAAAACCCTACAAATGCAGTGTGTGCAAATTGTGGAGGGAATCATATTGCAATTTCCAATACATGTCCTAAAAAGAAAATAAAAATTGAAGAAAACAAAATCAAATCCAAAACTACTAAATATTCGGAACTCTTTAATGAATCGTCTTTCCCACATTTACATACTAAAACACTAGAAACCCAGATCCAAAATTTAACAAAATCAGATACTTTCATGAATGTTCTCACACAAGCAATTACCAAACTCATTTCTAATCAAAAGGACAACCCCATAAATTCAGTTACTATAAAAGAAATCTTACATCAATCATTCAGAAACAATATATCTCCTTCCAAATAATGGATACAGTTAATATCATGCAATGGAACGCCCAAAGCATTATCAGTAATAGGCTTCTTCTAACTCAATTTCTTTATGAAAATAGTATTCATATAGCTATTATATCCGAAACTTGGTTACAACCTAATAAGAACTTTAACATTAAAGGATACAAAATTGAAAGAAATGATACTGGCAACAAACATAATGGTGTAGCTATTCTAATTAAAAATAATATAAATTACAATAAAATCATTACTTATTATGATAGCTGTTTGCAAAACATTTGCATCAGAGTTACTATAAATAACAAAGAATTAAGCATTGTTAGTTTTTACTGTCCTACAAATTGTATTCCAAACTTTGACAAATATAAATTTGACTGTTTAGTAAAATCAATTCCAAAACCAATGATTTTTGCTGGCGACTTTAACGCCCATCATACTTCTTGGGGATGTAACTCTGTCGATGCTAGAGGTAGAGATGTCCTGGAAATCATTGATGATAATAATTTAGTTCTCTTGAATAATGGTGAAGTGACCACAGTTGGTTCAATGACTTGGCGTTCTAATGCTTTGGATTTATCTTTAGTTTCTCCGTCGTTGGCTCTTTCATGTGACTGGTCCGTGCATAATGATCCACTTGGCAGCTATCATTTTCCTATAATAATCAAAGTCCTCTTTAGTAAAAATGGCAACAAAAGTTCTGTTTCAAATAATCGCGGTATACATTTGCCCATCCACCCTAATTTTAAAATGGTCGATTGGAAAATGTATACACAAAATGTTGAGTCCCTTTTAACAACTTTCAAACTAGAAAATTATACACCATTAGAAGCTCATTCTGTATTCTGTAAAATCATGAATTTAGCTATAGAAAGGTCCCTTCCATTTACTAGTCCTGCGTCTATCAATAATAGTAATAATACCCGTACTACGAAAACACCAATTCTGCCTTGGTGGAACAAAAAATGTTTTGAAGCAGTTCAAAGATCGAAAATGGCGTATTTAAATTTTAAAAATAATCCTTCTAATGAAACATATATAGAGTTCAAAAGGCTACAAGCTTTAAAAAAACTTACCTTGAAAACTGAGAGAAATAATAGCTGGATTGAATTGTGTAATTCCTTTAATCGTTGTACTCCTTTGTCTCGAATCTGGAAATTCATGCGTAAATTTAATAAAACATATTTGTATAACAATAGTGATGATGATTGGATCCCAGAATTTTTACAAAAGTATACCCCAGATTATGTACATAACACTTCTAGTTTTCCCATAGTTGATAATATGATTCCTTCAAATAACTATCTGATTAAACCATTTTCATTTCAAGAGTTGTCGTCTGCTATTCGCTCCAGAAGGGATACAGCATTTGGTCTGGATGGCATCCCCTATTTCATGCTCAAAAGACTCAGTGACAATAGTCTTCAAATTTTCTTGTCCATTCTGAATAGTTTGTGGTTAAATAATGATATACCCGATTCATGGAAGTCCGATTGTATAGTACCCATTTTGAAGCCAGATAAGCCCAAATCAAATCCCAACTCATATCGTCCAATCGCACTTACATCTTGTGTTGGAAAAATCTTCGAGCAGTTATTAAAACAAAGACTAGAGTTTTTTGTGGAACAAAATCATATTTTACCTGCAAATCAATTTGGGTTTAGAAGAGGCATGTCTGCCCGTGAAAGCATTAGCCAACTTCATCTTGATATCCAAAATAGCTTAGTTAGTAAAAATTTCTTGTTATCTGTATTTTTTGATGTTTCTGGTGCCTTTAATAATGTAAATATTGATATTCTTTGTTCTGAATTGGCTTGTATAGGAGTTCCAAGTAAAATAATTCAATGGATCCATAAATTTTTGACAGAAAGGGAAGTATATGTTAAACATAATTACAAACTATATGGTCCTAGACAGGCATCTATCGGAGTTTGTCAAGGAGGAATTCTTTCTCCCTTATTGTTTATTTTGTATATTAGACGACTAAACCTGGTACTAGGTTCTCATGTTAAAAATTTACAGTTTGCTGATGATCTCGTAGTGTATGCATCTGGAAAAAATTTAACAGAAATTACTAATATTGTAAATAAGTCTTTAGAAGGTTTATATAATTATTTTTCATATTTAAATTTAGATATCAATGCCCTCAAATCAAAATATGTTGTATTTGGAAAAATTCATAACTCAGCCTCTAATGTATATTACAACAAAATCCCTATTCCTGTTTCTTGTGAGGCAAAGTTTTTAGGAGTAGTATTTACTCACAATGTATCATGGAGTAAATATGTTGAAATTATAAGTTCAAGGGCCAACAAAGCATTCAACATTTTAAAATCATTATGCAGAACATCCTGGGGAGCTGATCCCAAAATATTATTGATACTTTATAAATCTCTTATTCGCAGTCATTTTGAATATGGGTTTCTATGTTTTTCTGGTGATAATAGACTGGTTGACAAACTAGAAAAAATTCAAAATAAAAGTATGCGACTTATAACTGGAGCATATAAAAGTACACCTATAAATTCATTACAAGTTGAGTGTGGATTACCTCCTTTAAGTATAAGACTTTCATACTTAAAAGAACGATTTATTTTAAAACTATACACAAAGAAAAATAATCACCTCTTTTTAAACTTGCTAAATTCATGCACTTCAAACTGTAATCTTTACATTCTCCATAGTTTCTCCCAATTTATAAATTATCTTGATGGTCTCCAAATCCATAAATCAGAACTGCTACCTTGCTATCAAGGAGACTTTGACAGTAAGTTTCCTGCAATAAATATTATCATTGATCATAAATTATCTTCTAAGCAAGATGTTAGTTATAAACTTTCTGAGTTTTCTGGTCATAGGTTTTTATACACAGATGGTTCAAAAACTGAGTGTGCTGTCTCATTTGCAATTTTTGATGGGCAATTGAATTTAGGTA